TTGGAGAAAAAACGCGAAAAATCAATCCATAAAATCCCAATAGGAATGACTGAATTTTTATCTCTTCCAAATACACCAGCGAACTTTCGCATCTATAGCCAGTTACTGTACATGGAGAACAAAGTGCTGAAAAATTTAATGCACAGCGTTCATAGATTGAATCTCCAATGTGATTCTCATGCAGGGAGCTGAAGACCAGAAGACATCTATGGAGCAACTAAGAGCCGCCACTGAAGAGGAGAATGTGAAAATTGCTGAGAAGAAAAAGAAGATCGACGAGCAGCTCAAAGAAGTTGAACCGTTACTAAACGTTAGTATACTTCGATTTACATTCTCAGAGCTTACGCACTGAGAACGAGTGCCAAGGAAAATAAATTTCCAGGAAGCTCGATCTGCGGTAGGATCCATCAAATCTGAATCACTATCTGAAATTCGCAGTCTGCGCGCTCCTCCTGAAGCTATCAGAGACATTCTTCAAGCTGTGCTTCTATTCATGGGAATATTGGATACGTCTTGGGAGGCGATGAGGAAGTGAGTGTGTTTTTTCTTTCTTCACAAATGTAACATTTCGTCGGTAGTTGGGCTAGCAATCGTCTTCGCTGGATATCGCAAACAAGCACCAATAGTTGGCTTGCATCTCGAAAAATCATCTTTGCATAGTCATCTCTGCATTTTCTTCTTATGCATCTTTTACCAGGTTCCTCTCCAAAAGCAGTGTGAAAGACGAAATCATCAATTTTGATGCTCATCGAATAACCAAAGATGTCCATAAGAAAGTTTCAGCTCTGGTGAAGAGCAAAGAAGCGTCTTTCGACCCCAAAGTATGTTTTTGCAAATTTTTTTGTAAAACTTCGAATTATGTTCATACAGAATGCCAAACGAGCTTCGATAGCGGCAGCTCCACTTGCTGCATGGGTCACTGCTAATCTACAGTACGCTGAAATACTGGAGAAAATTTCCCCTCTGGAACAAGAGAAAAACCAGCTTGTCAGGTAGAATTTTAATCTTACTTTGAAAGCAAGAAAATATTCGTAGCACTTCGTCTGTGATACCCATTTTTCTAAGAGAAAGCTAACAAGTTAACATAATTCTGAGAAGATTTCAGCAATCTTTCGAAGGCCGAAAAACAAATCCAAAAACTTTCGCAAGGATTACATACAGTTGACGAGAAAGTAGCGGTACTGAAGGAAAACTTTGAAGTATTGATGAAAGAAGCTACCCAAATCAAAATCGACTTGGAGAAAGAGCAGGTGATTTCCAAGCAACCCACAGCTAATCTACAATAATCCTCTTCTTACAATTAGGACACCATAAGAGTTGCTGGAACTCTGATTGACCGTTTGAGTGGAGAGTTTGCACGTTGGCAAGTGCAAATGGAGGCTTTGTCGAGGGAGATGGAAAATGTAAGAACTTTTCATATCCTTGGTCTACTACGGTAGTCTATGTAGATTTTTGAAATAAATTTCACTGCAATAAAAATTAAGGTCGAGAGATGTGCTTTGGT